TTCGTGTAACCCAACGGTGCCCCACATTCCTCGCTCCGATATTTACGGTCATCCCTCGAAACGACCACCAAGGTCAGTACGATAAAATGACGTCAACTGGAGCGATGATTATGAAGGAATGAGTACTTTTCCCTCCCCCACACACATCCGTATCGTCTCAGGGGGTGACCACAGTGTCCTGCCTTATATTGTGGCGTTTTTCTAAGAAATGGGTGCTATGAACTGTGCGAAAGCAATTGATTTTACGAGAATAAAATTTTGGACAACCCTCTTCTAAGAATTGCAATTGAGTGTGCTACTGTGGCCAGCTCAGGGTAATATGATATTATCAACATCGTAAATATCACGTCTCGGTTGTTTATATCTTCAAAGCAAAGAAAACAGGCCTTTCATAACGGTACAGCTAGAATCCGCTCGCCAGAGCCACAGGAATTTTGCTGCAAGACAGGCATATGTAACGATGACTTATCTCAGCTAAACTCGTTGGCTTAGTATACTCTGTTCTTGTGACAACAGGCCAGCGAAAAATCTAACAATCTACAGCAAAACCACCAATTATTATGGGCGTTATAACATAGGTGTGCAGCTGGACGAAACAGACACGCCGAACCCCCCCAGACGATTTAAATCCCTGACGAACCATACACGACGAACCACGGCAACGGGTTAATGCTTGGATACACATATTACAGCCTTGAGGAAGTACAACAGAATAATATCTCAAAATCTGCACTTCAGGGCACATCAGAGGGTCCATGTAAGTTCCCATAACTACACATACTCTTAAAAATTATGGCTTAATGATTAAAAGTAACAATGTGTGTACATTCTGTCACTACAACAGATCTTATTAATATCATTTTTAATTCATCTCTCTCTAAAACTGGAACTCACACCATGAAATACACATTTCCCAGTTCTCTCAGAGATAATGAATTTTCATACCAAACCAATGAAAACCAGAATGGACAAAGTTAAAGAATGACATAATGGAGCTTACAGTACAGAAACAGACCATGAAATGAAGAAAACTTTTAAATGGAGATTCCACCCTATGTCACAATTGTGAAGTATCACAAGTTTCTGCTATTAATCTGGCAATGTCAGACATTACCTGCTCTCTTGAAACAGCAACTTTAAATATCTGGCAGCTGAAAGAAAAGACTTTCAAAAATGCAGAAATAAATTCCTATTGTGTATCCCAACCTCCCACACCATGTTGAAGGGGTTCCTGCCGCATCATATGTCACAAAGTCGATAAAATGGGCATACTTCATGCATGTGCATGCACCTGAATGTGAGTAATACCATAAAAATTTTTAAAATGTATACTGCATTTTCTAAGGGCTTTTAAGAAACAAGGCCTATTGAGGCAAAAGTCAGTTTTCAAGACTTAGGAAAAACAAATTTTTCATCTGCCTCACATATCAAAATAGTTCCTTCTATGAAAATAATTCCAGCAAAACTTGAAAACTTAAACCTTTACTCCACTATAACAAGAGGCATGATATGCATGTCATACCCTCTTGCATGTAATTTTGATACTATTATTAAGTTATGGATATGAATCAACAAGGAACTTCTAGAGCATTCTGAACACTGATACACTTTTATCAATTTTCTTGACTATTTCAGACTCAAAACCAGCATTTACTTTCTACTGCTGCACAGTGTATGTAAAGTAAATGTGCATCACATATCAAATCAGTCACAGGCTGTGCCATAACTCAGGTGGTAAGTCACCAGCTTCATACTCTAGTAACCTGGGTTTGATTCCAGGTCAGGTTATGTGGGCTTTGAAGAGGTACTGGCGTACATTTTCTCTTAAGTTTCCCTTGCTAATTCTCATGCCACTAACCATTCCATACTTATCTACGAGGGTAAGTCAATAATTAAGTTACAAATGGATATAGAACTTAAACAAATAAGAGTACTGATTTGAAAAATGCTTTTATTTCTCAATATAATCTCCCTGTACACTGAGACACTTGTCCCATCATTTCACAAGCCCCTGAAAACCAGCAGCATAAAATTCTTTGGGCTGCTGTCAGAACCAGGCGTGTTCACACGGCATGGCCTACATCATAACACATGACAGGTTAGGTTTTCACAAAGTCTGTGCAAGATGGGTGCCGCGCATCCTGACCCCATAACACAAAATGCAAAGAATGGGTCTGGCATTACAGCATCTCAATCGCTACCATGATGGACACAATACGCTAGCCCGAATTGTCACAGGTGATGTGGGTTCACCATTACCAACCTGAGACAAAGCGTGCGTCAATGCAGTGGAAAATCCTGCGGTGCCTTGAGGGTGGAATGCAGTGAGCAGTATGCCTTCATGATCCCAGAAGACTCTGAGCATCACTTTCCTGGAGGATGGTGTCACCTTAAACTTTTTTTTGGCAGGCAACACAGGATGTTTCCACTGCACTGACGCATGCTTTGTCTCGGGATGGTATTGGTCAAACCAAGACTCATCACCTGTGACAATTCGGGCTAGTATATCGTGTCCTTCATCGAGGTAGAGATTGAGATGCTGTAATGCTAGACCCATTCTTTGCATTTTGCGTTGTGGGGTCAGCATGCGTGGCACCCATCGTGCACAGACTTTGTGAAAATCTAACCTGTCATGCATTATGAGGTAGGCCATGCCATGTGAACATGCCTGGTTCCAACAGCAGCCCAAAGAATTTTATGCTGCTGGTTTTCAGGGGCTTGTGAAAGGATGGGACAAGTGCCTCAATGTACAGGGAGATTATGTTGAGAAATAAAAGCATTTTTAAAATCAGTACTCTTATTTGTTTAAGTTCTATATCCATTTGTAACTTACTTATCGACTTACCTACATATCATCCAGAGCTGGTACAACAGGCTCAACAGTAGCTAGCAAACCAAGTGGACTCAGGTTAGTCCTAATTCACAAATAAACATAAATAAATAAAAATCAATCATATCTAAAATTATTGAGAAAATTTTCCCCCCCTCTCAATACTTTGTTTAGACAGCGTATGCATGTGACAAGCTATTCATTAAAACATGAAATCAGACATACTAACATTTAACATCCAAAGTGCACTGATTGGTACATTGAACAGTATGGCCATCATAGCTGAAGTACCCTGGTGCATTCTGCCATTTAAAAGCCACCAGTGGAAGCGCACACACAATCCTAAAAATTTATTTTCAAATATAGTAAAGTTCAATGTACATACATTTTTACTTCTTATCTGCTTATGCATATACAGTATTCACCCCCCTGCAACATGCAACTGAAGCACGCCTTTGTGCAGTACTCCTTGAAGCACCCAATACTGCACAGTCCCATGTCATACACATATCTTGCATTGCAGTTTCATCATCTTCCAAACAACATTTCTTTGGCAATGTTATGATGAAATGACACTACAATAGTTGAATTCACTATGAACTCAGAGAAGAACTGAATACACTCCGTTACCTCAACTACCATGCAAAAGTTTGTTTGCAACCATAGAAATGCTTGCAGATGCAACAGAAGGGCTTGGCACAGAAGTAGAGAACAAAGAATTTCCTTTCTAGCCTTTCTTGAATTGTCATGCTTTCACTTTTCTGTCCCTTAGTCAAGACTCGAATATCTGAAGTGTAACAAAGATGTGAAACTTGCTAGAAGAGAACCAAATGATTTTATTGCTTCCAACTGTTTTATGGCTCCAGAGACTGCGAAAATGTCATGTGTTACAAGCAGGAATTATTTCAATGCAGAACTACTCTGTGACAAAGCGGGAAACTAGTTTTACATTGCATATCAAAATTACAAGAAAAAATTAAAAACAGATTATACCTTTTTCCTAATGGGTTCTGATGACAGTGTATAACACTCAGAATTACTGGGTTTTTGGACTTTTTCCATTGCCTAGTATTCTAGAAACTACAAACCACAACATTTCCGAAACTGGATGTCCTCAAGTGAAGGGGGGGGGGGAGGCACCTACTCAGTGGGGTCCCTTAGAAAGGGCAACTGAGGTTAGCTCTTTCTAAGGGACCAAACTGAATAGGTATCTCCCCCCCTCTCACCTGAGGATGGAAACAGATCCAGTTTCCAAAATGTTATTTTTTTCTAGTTCCTAGAATACCAGATTATGGAAGAAGTCCAAAAACCCAGTAATTCTGGGTATAACTTTTTTTTGTCTACATATTTTCAAATCTTACATTATATTATGCAACACTACATTGTTTGAGGATAAAAACGAAGCTAATTCCATTCATTCATCGTAAGAATTGTGATAGACATAGCATTTTCAATTAAAATGCAAGCACCCTAATAGGAACAGACATTTAAATGCACAGCAACAATGGGAATTTAAACTTGCACCGGCAGTGGGCATTTAAAGGTTAATCAATCTGCTGCATAGGTAAATATTTTATATCTACATTACTAACCCTTTGTGATCATCTATGTTACTCACTCCATGAAGATGAGTCCTTCTTGAAAAGCTGCCAGTCACTCAGCTACTGAAGGATTTTCCAACATTTTATGAAAGCTAAATATTCAGTACTGTTTTCACAGCAGCCCTCCACTGATCCTTATACTGAGCCAGCTGAATCCAATCCAAACCACCTCATCACATTTCTCCAAGATATATTTTAATACTATCTTTCCATCTATCTCCATGTCTTCCTATTGGCTTCTTTCCTTCTGGCTTTCCCACCAAAACCATATGGGCATTCATCTTCTCCCCATGAATGCTATATGCCCTGCTCACCTCATTCTCCTTGACTTGGTCATTCTAATTACACTTGATGAAGAGTACAAGTTATGAAGCTATTCATCCTGCAATCTTTTCCAACCTCTTTATCATTTCATCCCTTTTCACTCCAAATATTCTAAGCACCCTGTTCTCAAGCACCTTCAATCTATCTTCATTAAAATGCACTGCAGAGTTTAAATAACATACAGCATAATGTCAAAACAAAACGGTGGAAAAAGGACGGTTTGAATTAAATGAATGAAGATTATCAATATTCAAAATATGAAATTACACGCTGTACAAAAATTCAAGATTTTACATATGTGTACTGGCTAATGTACATATGAATTTACTTTCTAGCTTTTTTCCTTTCATAAAACCATATACAGTGCAGACACCATTTAATGTTCCTCAATTTGAAGTTTTCCTTATTCAATTTCAAATATCCAAAGTCAACCATCACAGTTTTAAATTTCCCTCAACTAAAATTTTCCTCTGTTTGGTCTTCAAAGTCACTTTTCTATAAAGATACCTGAAATGAGGGTTTCATACCAAATGCCCATGCCTTCACTTTTGATGCATTACATCTTTTCAAATATTCTCATCATGCCTTCACTATTTACACATTACATGTCTAACATTCTCACTTGATATGTGTACAGAAACTGCAGTCAAAGCCATCAATCTGAATCTCTGCACTCTACCTTGTAGACTGTCAGAAAGTGAAATGCACATTCATCATGTCCTATAAATATGCCTGAAAAACAGTTACTATTACTGGCAATTAGGGATGGCATATGCTGTTTCCACAGGACTGGTTAATAAAATTAGGCAATCAGGTGCAATCACAATCTTGAACTTAATACTTCATATGTGTGCAATACTTCACCTGGCCCTGTAAGCATTACCATCATGAATCTCAACTGACTCTCTAACTGACACTGTTAGAAGTCAGCATCACATTTTGAGGGCAGGAGATTCATTCACTGTAATATGTGAAAAAATTTTTGTATTACAAATATGTTCAAATATGAGGTCACAACTAAAGAAAAGAACTATATAGATACTGCAGGTTGTAGAAAACAGTCTTATTTTCCAAGAAAATTTGTCCCTAATCTGTACTTCTTATGCTATACTTGTTCAAGGTGTCAAATTCATAACTTGATGCTGTATTAGTGTACCACAGCAACATTAAAATATTCAAAATCTTTCCCACAGCATCATATCTTCAGAGCTCCAAATATATGCAGTACCATTCTCCATCACTTCCCACTTTTAATTGCATTATCAGTATACTACCTTTACCCTGAATGTATTTTTGTGCAAAAGAATGATCATCACTACATTCAGACTAGGTATCATTAGGATGAAGAGGAATAACAAATTTGGGTCCAAATGGGGAACTGTACTTGATTCCAACTTCTTTGAATACCTGCTGTGGGAATGCTAGGTTACAAAGATACAACTTGCCATTGTCAAGACTATGGGCAAGGGGCAAGACAGGGACAAGAGAAAACTTTGTGTCAACTCCAGGTGTACCGGCTGGAGGAGGATCCAATGCCAACACAGGAGCACGATTCTCATTAGCCCATTCTGCTGCTGCCCTGTATCGAGCCTTGTGTAACTGACTTCCCAGTTCATCTGCCAATGCCAACACAATCAAGTCCACTGCAACTGTTGGTAACTCTGTAAAATTATACAACAGGAAAGTTGGACATAAGTGAAATGAAATCCAAAATAAAACTGGTGATCTCTGCTTTCAGCCACATGAATCATATCAGAAATATTCAGGCAGAAAGAAGCACTATATTTGTCTGTTCAGAGGGTTCGGAGTACTGCCATACATTGCTTCTTAGAATTACATGGCAAAAGCAAACTGTTAAAGTGCTCTGATAAAAACTTTGTTTGTATACCATAAGAAAGTGCATTTAATTCACTTTCAGTATATGTAAAAGTGTGACAAAATGTTTCTAAAAACCCATCAAGAAATAAAGTTACAAGTAAACCATATGCATGCTAGGATGTGACACCATGTAGTCTGGTAGAAGCTTACTGAGGTTTCAGACAAATGGATTACCTCCATCTTCAAGGTTAAAGGAGAAGCCAAGCAAGCAAATAAGCAAACAGCAAGCAGACAACACCCCTCAGTCATTTGCAATAATGTGCCAAATACTACTTGTCAACAGGATACTTGTGAAATACATTTTTGCATCAAAACATCCTGGCCTGATAGAGATGTATGAGATGAACCAAGTTATGGACAAGATCTGGTATGATATGACTTGGTAAAGACTGGTGTCCAGTTCTGTGGGAAGTAACCTCAAAATTCTGTGCCACTGACATCTCAGAATTTCTGAACTTAAAAAATTTGCAGGCAAGTCTACATTTCCATCATGCAGAATATCATTCACCTATCAACCGAACATACTATAAATGTCATTATGATCTGCCAATTCAATCACAAATCACTGATGCAATTCATATATAATCACCCTACAATATAGATTTTCCCATCAGAAAGTACTCCTAGCAAAATAAATTAAAAATGGTCACAATTCATTAACTTCCCTTACCTTGTACAGTGGTGATGAGTTTATTGTTGGTATGCCTAAATAATGCCAGCTCATGAGTAAGCTGCGTTGTCAAATGTGTTGGGTCCAACAGAAAAACGACCGTTTTTACACCGTGACTGGCTAACTGGCGGGCGCAATTAACAGCAACAGCTCCTTGGCGATTTGAGCCACAAAGGGCAACAACTGTTGGCCACTGGTGAACATTGTGTGGATTCAACCTGTATACCAAAGGTTCACAGTTACATGGTCCTTCTGTAATTTCAGGACTTCCTTATTCTACAATATTATATTTAAGCATCCTGTCGCACTCTATACGATCTATGATATAAACTCCGTCCTAAGTGCAATAATATATTGTAGGTCTTTCGTCTTGCTTTCTTCTACACTACATGTTTCGGCCGCAAACGGCCATCATCAGGTGTATACACTCATGTAGCTGTTACATTGCACCCAGTTTAAAATTTAAAAACACACAGGTCTTCCCAATTGCCTAACAGGATCTACTTCGCTGACATTTGTCTGATTCGTACATCATCTTTGCCACCCACACATGTCAATTTTGACCTTCATGAACTGGCACTTCATGAACTTTTAAAATTTGAAAATTTGAAGTGCCAGTTCATGAAGGTCAAAATTGACGTGTGTGGGTGGCAAAGGTGAGGTATGAATCAGACAAATATCAGCGAAGTAGATCCTGTTAGCCAATTGGGAAGACCTGTGTGTTTTTAAATTTTAACCCGTTGCCGTGGTTCGTCGTGTATGGTTCGTCA